CTCCCTCCCTCTCATTTATGAGGGAGAACATGCAGCATTTCTCTTTCTGTGCTTGGCTTACCCCCTTTCCCTTTCCCCCTTTCCCATCTGTAAACTGTAGGCCTGTTCTTTCCCGAAAGTTCAACATTTTAGTGTGGTCTTTCTTTTCCTCTCTCCCTCCCTCCCTCCCTCCCTTTCCTTTCCTTTTCTTTTCTTTTCTTTTCTTTCTTAGCTCCCACTTATGAGTGAGTACATAAGGTATTTCTCTTTCTGTGCATGGCTTATTTCACATAACATAATTTTCTCCAAGCTCATCCATGCTGCTGCAAATGATAGAATTTCATTCTTTTTTATGGCTGAGTAGTATTCCATTGTGTATATATATCACAATTTCCTTATCCAGCACCCTTGATGGACATGTAGGTTGGTTCCATATTTTGACTATTGTAAATAGAGCTGCAATAAACATGGGAGTGCAGCTATCCTTTTGACATGATGATTTCCATTCCTTTGGGTATATACCCAGTAGTGGGATTGCTGAATCATATGGTAGTTCTATCTGAAGTTGTGTGAGGAACCTCTGTTCTGTTTTCTATAATTTCCATACTAATTTACAGTTCCCCTTTCTCCACATCCTCAACAGAATTTGTTATTTTCTGTCTTTTTGATAATAGCCAGTCTAACTGGGGTGAGATGATATCTCAGTGTATTTTGATTTGCTTTTCCCTGATGATTAGTGATTTTGAGCATTTTTTCACGTACCTATTGGTCATAGGTGGTAGAAGACCCAAATAATGAAAATAAGAAATGAAAAAGAAGACATTACAACTGATACCATAAAAATGCAAAGAATCATTAGAGACTCTTATGAATAACTATATGCCAACATATTTGAAAACCTTGAGGAAATGGATAAATTTCTGGACACTTACAAACTACCATGACTGAACCAAGAAGAAATAGAAGACCTAACAGACAAATAACAAGCAACAAGATTGATACAGTAATCAGCAGTCACCCAACAGAGAAAATCTCAGGACCAGATGGCTTCGCTGATGAATTCTACCAAACCTTTAAAGAAGAATTAATACAGTCCTTTTCAAACTATTCCAAAAAAATTGAAACAGAGGCCATTCTCCCAAATTCATTCTATGAGGCTAGCATCACTCTGATACCAAAATCGGACAAAAACACAACAAAAAAAGAAAGTTACAGACCAATGCTCTTGATGAATATAGATGTAAAGATCCTCAACAAGGTATTAGCAAACAATACAACAGCACATCAAAAAGATTAAACACCACAATCAAGTGGCATTAATCCCAGGGCTGCAAGGATGGTTCAACATATGCAAATCAATAAATGTTATACAACACATCAACAAAAGCATGAACAAAAACCATATGATTACCTCAATAGATGCAGAAAAAGCATTCAAGAAAATTCAGCATCCCTTCATGATAAAGTCCCTCAACAAATTAGGTATAGAAGGAAAGTATCTTAACACTATAAAGGCCATATATGACAGACCCACCACCAACATCATCTTGAATTGGGAAAAGCTGAAAGCTTTTCCCTTAAGAACAGAATAAGACAAGGATGCACACTCTCACCACTCCTATTTAACATAGATCTGGAAGCTTTTTAAAAATTTTGCCCCCCAATACTTGCAGTTCTTGATGTTTCCACATTAATTCAAAGAAGGCTCTTAGGAAAAAGAAAAGGAACAAAGGAAAGCAACTTGAAAGAAATCAGCTTACTTTTTTTTCCCCTAGGGGAAAAAAAAGGTTTATTTTCTTATGGAATGCTGTTGTTATTGAAATATCCTAAAAACAATGTTGGTTTCAGAAGTACAGTTTGAACTAAAAGAGAGTCAATTAGGTAAATTTTCTTTTGAAAATACACTAAAAATCAGTCTGATTTGTGGCTCTTTGATGTTAAGAGCACTTGATTTTTCTATACTAGATTATGTTTGGAATAAACATTTCTATCAGTGTTTTGAAACTTTAATATTAGCAGCACCTCCAAATATATGTGTGTGCACATGCGTACATGTTAAATAGATTGACTCTGTCCTTGGACAAAGTTCAGTATCAGGCGAAGTAGCATTTTGTAAAATGTTTAGCTGAATTAAAATTGGTCAAAGATGTAATAATTTTTTATGGATATATGTGTGTGCACATGCGTACATGTTAAATAGATTGACCCTGTCCTTGGACAAAGTTCAGTATCAGGCGAGGTAGCATTTTGTAAAATGTTTAGCTGAATTAAAATTGGTCAAAGATGTAATAATTTTTTATGCTTGTAGGCAGACAAATTATTCAAATCAGTGAGGGGCTATTTACAAAGAATTTGTCTAAGCATGAGCATGCCTTTGAAGGTGACATGAGGAAAGCTCATTGCCAAGTTTAAATCTAGATTAATTCAGCCCAGCACATCTTAAGGTTGCCATGTACTTTCATCACATTCTCATGCCAGAAAAATTTTAGTTGATCCAAAATGAACACTATTGATTGGAGGACCAAAATTTCCCAGTAATCTATAATCATTTTAATCAGAGTGCAATGTTTAAGCAAAAATATATTGTCTGTGCTTTTACAGAAAGTCCCCTCACTTCCTGCTTTTTCCATCTCTGTTTTCATTGTGTGACTAACATGTTTTCTTCTTTTATTTTCTTCTTGCTATATTCTTTGAAATGCTTTTCTTTGTACTAAGTCTGCTCTCTTGACATTGCTTTTCCTTCCTTTCCTCCTTCCACTCTACCTGCCCAAATTGTTTTTTTTTTCAAATATATAAATGATTTTTAGAAAAGATGTATATAAATAGCTAACAGGGAGTCAAAGATAAGGTCAGGTTAGATATCTTAGATAATGTTTTCCTTTAAAAATAACAGTAAAAATTTACACCATAACATACAGAAACAAATATAATAAAGCTGGCTGCATTTTTTTTAAAAAACCATATTTCAAAGACATTTTCTTTAGGAGAAGGCATATGCTGTTGTATGTGACATAAGTTTTTCACACTCATATCAATCTCTTATGTCTATGAGCAATTTTATTTAGTGCTAAGGATATATAATGAGATTGTTTTTACTGCTCCTGGACTTAAGACATTATTCACCTTATAATGACCAGGAATACATCTTTGAACACCTACTGCTTCTTTACCAACATTGTACGTCAAATGGAGTAGTCCATGTGACAAATGCAACAGGTTTTCCTAGACTATATGACGATATAGGCCCTTCCTTAAATGGCTATATTGAAACATAAATTTCAAATTATATACTTATTTCCAATGGCCCTCCTTTAAGTAAACTTATCCTGGAATCTGTCTGTTAGATTTATTATTCCACTTACTGTGTATTCTTTTGAAATGGAACTCTGTTGGAAGTTTTCTTGGGATACAAAATGTAGGATTTGTATCATACATTTCTCTACCATCTAATACAGGCTTACAAGCATTAAGGTACATAGCCCATTGTTTTAAGTGATGGTAAAGAGACATCATTCCTATTATACAGATTTAATTACCTTTAAGAGATATTAAGAACTCAAAACAGGAAAGGTATTATTGTTGTTATGCTATGAGTTTTTAAGTAACCTATGTATTCTCTGTTTCTGGGTCTGTTTCTAGTACCAAAACCCTCCTTCATAGGAATTAGGTCAGATTATGATTATGTAGTGGATATTTTAATTTTGCATGTTTTCTCAATTGACAGCACACATTTACATTATCTTTTATCTCAGTGTGAATGAACAAACCGCAAAGCTATTTAGGTCATTGTATTCTGCTGTGTAGCTCTTTTGCCTTGTGAACTATTATATATCTCACTGTAATAACAGTGAATTATGTTTGGCAGAGTAGTCTTCTTTTTCTAAAGGTGAATTTTAATTTGATGTTAGAAACAACCAGCTTTAAAAATGTGATTGGCCTTAATATCTTTTTGATTCCTTTTGAAGATACACTTAACACAAAAATGTACTCTTTGGGAATTTGGCAAACTACCTGATAATAGAATAAATCATTTTTAGTTTATGGGAAAAAGCAAGTGCTTCCTTATTTTGTTGTTATTTTCTGCATCAAAAAGGAAATATAATTTTTAGCTAATATGTGCATGTGAGTCGAGATATCATTTGGTAAAATGAGTCAAATGGGAGAACTTCCATTTTTTTGTGATAACACAACAAGTATGCCCTTATTTCTAAAAACATTAATAACGTAATGTTCAAGTAATGCCTCCCTTACTTATTTTTTCTTTTATTTTTCTTTATTATTATTATTTTTTCTTTGGTGGCTGGTTGGTACAGTCATCAAACTCTGGGCATTGGTGTTATCAGCACTACACTCTAACCAATTCAGCTAGCCAACCAGACATTACCTGTGTTTTCAAGCATCTTTAAAACTAATAGAAAAATCTAAATTACCATATGTTTCTTTTGCAGGAGCTAGTGAGAAAGAAGTAGTCTTAATGAATTCTTTGACTGTTAATTTACATCTCCTACTGGTAAGTTTTCTTTCCTACCATTGTTTAGAATACATTCATTACAGAGGCTGATGTTTTTCTATCTTTAATTCATGAGCATCTGGTGGTTTACTTTTTTAAAAATAACTTGTGAGGTTATTTTCATTTTTACCAGGAAATGCTGGACCATGACGTGATGTCTTCTTAATCATGGAGGAGTTGACTCATGCAAGGAGCTTTAGAATAATGAACAGTTTTTATCACAGAACATAAGGAATAAGAGGCATAGTGGGTGAAAAGGAAAACTTTTTGCAAGCACAGAAAACAATGATGTACAAATATTAGCAAAGCATTGAAATTTTAGAAAGACAATTTTCCAATATGGTGGACTTTAGCAGAGTGAGATTATGAATCAGTATACTTTTGTGGATTAATTTTTGGGGAGTAGGTTAAAAAAGATTTAGGAAATAAAACTAAATTAGAGAAAAGGGATCTAGTACCTTAAATGAGTTACTTTGTTTAAAGCATTTCTTATATCTTAAATATTCAATAAATAGTTTTACCTTAAAATGTCAAATATACTCTCAGTTTGGGATGTGGTGTCTATTGTAACTGCTTTGAAAAATTTTGACTTTGTTTTTTAAGTATGTTTTGGGAACATGTACAAAAGCAGACATACCTGGATTTGACTGCCTGCTGAATTACTTAATGCTTGTTTGATGCTGGATAAGGTTTTTGGCATTTTTGAGTCTTAATATTCTCCTTCGTAAAAATAAGGACAATAATACCTACCTTATTGATCTGAATGAAGATTAAATGTGATAATACGATGAACTTCATGGAAAATAGAATTGAAAGATAATATGAGTCTCTTTTTGAAGTACCCTCGTATTTGAAACTTGCTTTAGCGCCCTGCCAACACTTAACCCTATTTAACAATAACTATTTAACAATAACTATTATATTCATTGTTATTATTGTCAGTCTTATTCTTCAGGAACTGTGTGGAGAAATGAAAGGGCTCAGCTGAACAAATGAGCTACTTCTGACTGGTGCCTCTAAAAACGGCAAATGTTTCATGTTAGAGCTGAGGTATTTTTAGCTGGACCAAAAACAAAATCCCATAAAATAATAAAACAGTGGAAATGTGTATGGAAACTGAATTGGTAGTGGATGATAAGTCAATAGAAATAAGACATACACAGAACATGATATTTCAGTCTCATACTAGAAAAATTCAATGAAATGCTTTGGGAAGATAATTTTTCATTAATATTTGAGTAAATTTTGAGAATTTGTTTTTATCTGACTCATATATCCCCCAAGTTTGCTTTTCATTGAGAAACGTAATGAGCCAATATCTTTTTCCTCTTTATAATTCATTGAAAACAGGGTTAATTGAAAAGGTACCCCTGACAAACATCTTAGATGTTTAATTAATTAATGACTTTGAAATGCTGGAGATTATAAAATGAAAGTGTGGTATAAAATGAACAACTGTATAAATTGTGCATTAATGCTTTCTCCATAAATTCATTTCATTGCAGTTATCATTTTTTAAGCCTACACCAAAACGGTATAAAATTCTGCTAGAAGCCAAAGCTTTCCCTTCTGATCATGTAAGGATTTCTTCAAATTATATTTATGTTCTTTCTCCTCTTCTAAGAAGAGCATATCATTTGCCTGACTTGACTGTTTATTCACTAGTCTTTTCCAAGTAACCTTACAATAAAAAGATCTGTCAAATGTGTTTGATATAGGCATTTTTTATAGCTTGTAGCTTTATTTCTTTTGTTCAAGAAAACATGTTGAGGAAGAAAAGGATTGAATAGGAACATTGATTTATGAGTCTTTTTAAAGACATTGAGCAAACCGCTGGTCTAAATCAAGTGCAGTTATAAATGTTTTATTAATTCTTGTTGCTGTTTTATTTTATGAAATCGAATCAATATAAACCCCAGTGCTTAACCCTGTATCTAAGTAGAATAGCAATATAAAGTTTTACGTGTTCCTTTGTTTTCATAGCAGGCTAGCACAATTGATGATGCTTTATTGAAAAAATTGTTTATGAAAGATTAAAAATACTTCTGTGGTTTACTAAAAAAGTCATGCTACTTTATCAGCAATTTAGCTAATAATAAATTTGGTCATTCCAGACACAGACATAAATAACAGTATTTTAGTTTTACTGTTGAATAAATTTGATTTCTGTCTTTATATTATTACTGTAAATAATAATGTCTTTATATTATTACTATTTTAGCCCACATCTTGTAATTTTAGGGCATGTAATTTTGTCAAAATTAATAGGCATTATCTTACTAAAAAGGATCAAAACCATAATATTGTGAAAAACAATGTGAGATCCCTGAAATTGTTCTCATGCATATTTTGTATTCTTAATCAAGTAAACTTTTCAAATGCCTTCTCCTTTCACTAACTTGCTCTTTCTAGTGTAAGCCATTTCTATAGCCTGTGTTCAAGCCAAGCAAGTCTATATTACTCACTTTGGTTATTTTGCAAATTCTGGTTTTAACTTAGATTAGGCATGTTAATATATTATTCTACAAATCTCTTGCAACTCCTAACGTCTAGATGACCCCTACATTTCCATTTATCTCTAATGTGTAGTATTTTAAAGAATGTTCAGATTCTTCTGTGTAAATTATGTTAAGTGGTTCTTCTCGGGTGTATTCTGTTTAGTCATTTTTAACCTTGGCCTTGGACTTAATATAATAATGTTTTTATTGTTATTTTATTATTTGTTTGCAGAGTTGTCATTTCAATGTACTTCTGTGTCTGGGGCTTGATTTAATAAGTAAATTATCTTTCTTTTCCAGTACGCTATTGAGTCACAGCTTCAACTTCATGGACTTGACGTTGAGAAAAGTATGCTTATTATAAAGACAAGAGAGGTATATGAGAAAGAAAGAAATATTCATCATGCTGAAATATTCATTCAGTATTGATTTTTTCTTCCTATTCCTCAAAAGTTTACTATCTTCATTACTTTAATAGAAATTTCAAGAAAGTATGAAAGCCTTCTGTTACTCTTAGATCATTTTATTTAAAATTGAGAATAACTGAGACCTGTATTTATTTTCATTTTTCAAAGGCTAGGCATATGACAAGCAAACTGTTTTCTTATTAATAAAACTGAAGTCTGCCATGTTCTTGAATGGGATGGGAAGAAGGTAGCAAATCATGCTAAACAGCAGGGATTTGTTGAAATTGAAGGATGACGTCTTTCATGTCCCTTCTTAAGAGAAGTGTCAAATGTTTTATTTTGTGTTTTGGCCAGGGTGTAGAAATGGATGTGGTATAGTGGGGTGAGCCTGAGCTTTACAGCCTGACTAATCTGCTCCAGTGAAATCCCAGATCCTCCAATTAACTGGGGATGTGACTTTGGGAAAGTTACTTTATCTCTTTGAGATTCCTTTACTTTTAAACAGGTAACAGAGGTTATATCTTATCAGGCTTGACCATATGCTCAAGGTCTAAAATACTGTGTTCTTTACATTAATGGAGATATAAGGCTAAATTGTACAGAATTTGACATATTAACCCTGCAGCTTATGTAATTTGGCAACAAGAGAATCATACAGAATAAATCTTAGGTTTCACATATGGTGCACCCAGGCTGTTAAGTCAATGTTTGAACAATTACTTCTTTCAACCCAGAATTAATTTGAAGAAATTAAAGACCTACTTTATTCACTTTTACTCATAGTTGCCAACATGCAATAAATTAATGGAATTAAAAGTTCTCACACCTGTGAGAGGATATCTGTTTCATATGTCGTATATAAATTGCTAATTTCTAGCATAAATGAATATAGCCACAAATGATCGCTAGTTTTAATGTTATAAGTGTCCAGTGTTGTGGAGCCTCATGAGTTAATCATGATCTTGGCACCACTCTTTAGCATTACAAGACTAGAATAAGTCAACATGAGAGAAGGCTATATTCTGTCACAGAATTATATTTCTTGATTGCTTAATACTGATTCTTTAAAAAAATAAGTATTAATGCTTTCCATACCCTTTTTATGAAATTATGGTGGGCAAACCTTATTAGTTTCTTTTAAGAATAAAAAGATTTGAATTGCCAAGCTATTGATTTTACTTAGAATTTTATTTACAATTACTGAAATCTTCTCTTTATATATAAAGTACACTTCACTTAGTGGTTCAGAGATTTCCGCATCATTCCTGTTTTTATAGATGCCCAGCCCATTTTATAAACAAATTCCAGGCTTCTCCTAGTAGAGAGTATATTATACACACACACTCACACACACCCTCACACACACACCCCTAATATGCAGCAGAGTAGCAAATAGCAAGAATTATGAAAAAATAAACTGAAGGATAATTTATGAATATGTTAATGAGCTTCTACTGTATATTAATGCAGCTATGATGCATTGACCTAAAATCATGTCCGATTTAACACTGGAAAGAGTTCATGAAACCTTGGTAAGTAGATCAGAATTGTTAGGGTACAAATAGATACTTTGTATTTAAGTGATTTCTTTCAGCTCAAGTTGTTTGCAAGACCAAATCTAAATTCATTGACAATTTTCATTAAGTAACCAATCATTACTTGTAGTGGGGGGAGATATAGAATAAAAAAAAAAAACCTCATTAATATTAAGTTTTATTGATAATTTTCTTCATGTTTAGGTCTTGATCTTTACATACATTAATATGGAGGAGATTTTATTCTTAAGCTAATAAGAGATATTGGTTAGATAATACTCAGATGAAAGATGTATACGTGATTTTATTATATTAGATTGATAAGTGCAATACTAATTTCCAGCAAATTTTTCCTGCTATATATTTAATGGACTTCTTGCACTTTCTCGTATTTTATTGGATGAAAATAAGGGGAAAATAATTCATAGGTATGCAAAAAGTAAAGAGCAATTGAAAAACTGGAGGATAAAGCAAGCAAGTAGGCTTTTGCAAAGATTATTTGAAAACCTCTTTTTACTACTATTTTTAACATTTCTTGATTTAAAAAAAAAAAAAGAAAAAAATGCCCAAATGCTGCTTTTCGGCCAGAGTTTTGAAAAGCATTAGTCTGAAAAAAAAAAATGCTTTTGATTTTTCTTAAGGTGGGAAAGTGCTCATGGTGAAATTTAGATTGGTAAATATGAAGCGACAGATGTATTCTTGTTGGTATGACATAACTTGTGCCTATGTTGAATTAGGGGGAAGAAATCTTAAGAACAGAGGATATCCTGGAGGTCATTGAGAAGGAAGGAGACTCGATTGCAGTGATCCTGTTCAGTGGGGTGCATTTTTACACTGGACAGCTCTTCAATATGCCCGCCATCACTAAAGCCGGGCAAGCAAAGGTATACACAGCCTTTCCTCCTCCCCCCAACTCCACCCAGCATCACTCTGCTGAAATGTGCCACATGCACTGCCAGTGAAGTACCTTTGTGTGTGTGTGTGTGTGTGTGTGTGTGTAAAATTACTTTGAGTTTAAAAAGTCTGAGCCTTATATTTTAAAAACACCTGCAGATTTTTTGCTTTAGGCATCTCTATTTAAACCACTTTTGGCCACTTCTGTGGTCTCACCTCCTTACTAGCAGCTGCTCTCTGTTTGCTTCCAGTCAGCAGGACAGGCAAGCTTCCTGCAGGTGATGTCATTGGTACTCAGCTGCTCAGTCAGCAGGAAGCACACAAAATACTTAGGACAGTAACTACCTGCTAGGACTGTTAGAAACTCAACTTGGGTACTTTGTTATGCTATAATTCATTCTAAATATAAGTCAGTTCTCACTTAATTTCATGTACCTAAAGATTGAGAAATGCAGAATTACATGTTATCCCTAGATAGTATTACACAATTTACTTAAAAAGGCTATTTTATTCCTAAGCATCTTGAGAAATTATTATTAGTATATTGCCTCTAACAAGAGCTTTTTTCCTGCACACTGCTAAATCACTCTTAAAATTGTTTACCACTTTGAAATCATGTCTTTTTGTATATAGATAAATGTTTGTAAAAGGCATTTTTAGTATTCAAAATTAGGAGAGCAGCACTCAAAAGTCACAATTTATATTGAAAATTGTTAAATAACAGTTCTATTTGATTCAGCAATCAAGTCATGTATTTAAAAAGGTGACAATCAAATTTTATTCTGAACATTAATAAGTTATGGGATTAATATATGTGTGAGATCTAGTTAATATGTTCAGTTATTGAAGCTAATGAATGGAACTAATGAAAAGAAATTTAGCACCGTTATCAGCAGTCTCTAGGAATTTCCAACCATGACTTCCAACTGGTTTGATGGATAACTGTGAAAGTAATGCATTACAAAAGATATGAAGATAATGTCTTCTTAATTTAGATATTAAATGTTAAGCACCAAAATAAAGGGAGACCAATAAAAAAATCATATTTTAAAATGTTATGCAAGTAGTCATCAGTCCCTGTTCCCTTAGTATACATGCATGTCTCATTAACCTTCATAGAAATGAGAGAGGAAGGTAGAGAAGGAAAACCTTCGGTTTTGGAATCACACAGCCTGATGTTCAAATCTTGGCTAGGTTATTTCCTTATATGATCTTGGGCAAGTAATTCTACTTTTCTGAGTTTCTGCTTCCAAAAGTGCTAATTTGGGCTAGATCACCCACATCAGAAAGTCAATATGAAATGAAGAGTATTAAACATCTACCGGATTGGCACACAGTCTGCTGTTAAGGGATGGGTTTTTTCCCACTTCTCCTTCCCTCATCAAATATGAGGTATGGGAAGTTATTCAGATATACACTTTATTTCCCATTAAAAACCAAAATAAATTCGTTTACTTAGGTTTTATATGTAAATCTCATACTTAAGTTCTTTGGTTGCCAAAACCATTATCTGAGAATTTTTCAGGCTTTATTTCAATTAAAAATTATAATAAGTGCCTACCCTAAAAATTATAACAAGTCAAATTCTCATGGAACTCAGTCAAATAAATGAAGGTATGAATGAGCAGTTCTAATCCAAATGTAACTGCAAAGAAGTGATGGATACTATAGGAATGAAATGGGGATATAGCAGACTCAGATTTATCCAACATCAAAATCATTCTAACAATTGTTTTCCCTTTTGCTAGACATTTTTTTCCATTCTCAACTGATACTGGGAAAAGTTCTTTAAAATATAGACTTACATGGCTCTCTTGGGTGGCCTATGAAGATAGAACTGAAGAGAAAGGCAGAGAGAAAAGGAAAAGTGTCAATCGAGAGAGAGACAGGAAATTAAAGAAGAAAAAAGGCATAAAACAGTCAGTGTTAGAATTGATCAAGCAAGGCTAGAGAGAGGAAAGTTTCCCCAAACAAAGCATGGTAGGAACCCAAAATGACGGTGGATGGAGCAATGAGAGTCAATGAGTAGATTTTGAAATAAAAACTTCAAAATCATGTGATAGGGAAGAAAGGACAGGAATTTGGAAAAATATTTTAAAGAAATGCTTGTAGGGCCAGCCCTGTGGCACACTCGGGAGAGTGCGGGGCTGGGAGTGCAGTGACGCTCCCGCTATGGGTTCGGATCCTATTTAGGACTGGCCGGTGCACTCACTGGCTGAGCGCGGTGCTGGCGACACCACACCAAGAGTTGTGATCCCCTTACCGGTCACGAAAAAGACAAAAAAAAAAA